AATCAAGTTTATACACACACACACACGTAAAAAAAATCTTCAAATGATACATTTTGCATCAGTGTTGATTAAATGACCTTTGGAAGAAGAAGGGAGATGAGACTTTCAAAAGTGGTTTGCATTATCCTTTTAAGTCAAAATAATTGTCACTACAGCTAATGTGAACATCTGAACTCAAAGAAAGAAGGCTGGGAGTAAATCCATGCAAAGATTTGTAGAGGTTATGAAACAACCCATTTTGAAGGTGTTTACGGAGCAGCTGGCCTGCAAAACAGACTGTTGAGAAGATCTCATTCCCTCTTTTTTTCTCCAGGGTTGGACAACCTCACCAAGCCTCCTACCATTTAATTCCTGGCAGCTTAAGCTAGCCCTCACTTCTGCATAGACCTGACCACTGCAGTCAAGAAGAATAGCCCACTTTGCCATGTGGCAGTGATGTCATGTGGGTGGAGCCTCCAACAAAATGTAGCTTGACCAAAGATGGAAGACCTCAACTAAGAAAACATCAAAAAGCTTCCTAGAAGAAGAAGAAGAGATTGGATTTATACCCCACCCTTCACTACCCAAAGGTGTCTCAGAGCGGCTTACAAACTCCTTCCCCTTCCCCTCCCCACAACAGACACCCTGTGAGGTAGGCGGGGCTGAGAAAGCTCTGACAGAAATTGCTCTTTTTCAAGAACAGCTCTTATCAGAGCTACGGCTTGCCCAAGGCCATCCAGTCAGGTGCAAGTGGAGGAGTGGGGAATCCAACCCGGTTCTCCCAGATTAGAGTCCGCACACTTAACCACTACACCAGACTGGCTCTCTCCTAAAATGGAAAGAGAATGAGGAAGTTGTACATGGGTCTTTCACATAGGGACATCTGTGGCTCTCTGTTATGTGCATGCGTGGCTACAAATGTGGGTTTGTTACCACATAATGTGTGATAAGGCTCTCACATGTCAGGGTCCACGCCCATCAGTGTGCACACCCATTACATTCTCCCCATTCACTTCTTACAGGTGGGGATGCTTTTCTCAACGAATGGTTTTCGTCCTCTAACCTCAGATATCAGGAGAGCCTTCAATACATTTGCCCCACAAGCTTTGCTTTAATTAGTGAGGAGACTAAGGAGGCCAAGGGGGATTTTAAATCTTGGCAAGTATGCAGTGTGTAGTAAAAAAAAATTGCAGAAAGATCTTCTCAAGAAAGTTGCCTGAAGCACAATGGGGTCTGACTGACAATGCTTATAGATAGATGACTTTTTTTAAAAAAGTGAAAGGCTGTGTCATAATAAGCCACAAAATAAAACTTGCAGCCACCTAGGGTTGCCAAGTTGTTTTCTTGCCGCAGCGGGGGACTCCCGGCTGGCGGCTGGAGTACACGCGCTTCCTAGATGTGACGTGACGACGCCGGGCACGCTGGGGCGGGGCCACGACCATCCGAGGGGAAACCATAGAGTTTTCCCTCGGATAACCATGGCCCCGCCCCCCCGCGTGGTCACGTCACTTCTGGGTGACGTGCATGTCGGGGTGGTGTTCCCCCCGGGGCCCGATTTGCCGGCGGTGGGAAACGGGCCTCTGGGGCAGGGGTTTCCCCGCCCCCCGGGGGGACTTGGCAAGCGTACAGCCACCCCAAATAAGTTGGCTGAGATCCAACGGCCTCCTTGAAATTCATAATGGCTTCTGACTGCCCAGTGGGACTTGTAAAAAAAGACTTCCCATTTTGAACAGCAGACTAGGCATGGTTAAACACCCACCAGTTTGTCTCACATCCTGCTCAATGGTTTGGAGCAGGAAGTGGATCACTCGGTGACCTCACTAAACAAATTCATGGATGTTCATTTCATGCGATTACACAGCTTTCTCTCACGGTTGCAGAGGGCCACTCATCTGCCACTGCCTTCAGTATTAAAAGATGCATAGCTAAAAGAACTGTTTGAATTTGCCACTTATGTGTCCCTGTGTCTTCCGTGTCTGCTTGTTATAATAACAAATCCATGTTCCCCTCTGCTTGCTAATGTCAACAGACGTGTACCTCTGTAATTTCTTTTTGTTCCAGGTAGAGCCAATCATGACACCAGCAACATCGTCTAATGGTAGAAATGGTATAATAGTGTTATACTGCCAATTTGTTGACCATGACAAGCAGTTCAGAGATTGACAACTGGAACTGTAATGACCCAGCTGTGTAGAATAAGCAGCTGCTGAACAGGTGCAAAGCGGTTTGATGTGAATGCCGACAATGCCGATCGAGCTAATCTGATTGGGAGCTCATATTTATTTATTATGTATTAAAACATTTATACCCCACCTTTCCTTGTGGTTCAGGGTAGTTAACAATAATCGTTTTTTAAAAAAGAAATTCAATTAAAACCAGACTAAATCAACAGGCTCCAAATCTTGCATCTGATTGAAGAAGATGAACAAGATAAATTCACCTGCAGCAGGCCTACAGCAGAACCCTTGCATCTGATTGAAGAAGATGAACAAGGTAAATTCACCTGCAGCAGAACCCCCACCATGCCGTATTGTTAACTCCATTTGAAACCTCACCTCAGACGCAAATGTGCCTGCCATGTGATTTTGAGGTGGGAGAGGGGAGACTAGTATCAAGAATCCCATCCTCCCCTACTTAAAAAGCTAGCCATATGTTATAAAGAGTCAATCAGAGACAAGGTTATTATGCTATCCCCTGAGGTGCTACATATGGAGATAAGTCTTTTGTTTTTTAAAAACGCATTTCAAACCATATGACTCCTCCTGCTGTATGAAATGATACAGCCCTGAAATTTACCACTTCACTCTTATGTATAGAAGAAGCTCTTGAGGATGAGAAACAGAAGAGCATAAGAAGGGCCCTCTTGGGCCAAAGAAATGGCCCATTTATTCCAGGATCCTGTTTTCCACACTGCCCAACCCATAATCATGCCTTGGAAGGCTCACAAGGAGGTGCATGGAGACCAAAGTGCCCCTTCCCTTTTGTTGCCTCCTAGCGACTGGTACACCGCCTTTGAACATGGGGGTCCCATTAGGCCATCAGGGCCAATACTCACTGGCAGATCTCTCCCCTGTGAAGTTGAAAACATGTGGTTGGTGTTCCTTAAAACTGAGTCAGCTGCAACGGAGCAGCCTGCCCTATCTGAGAAGCCTTTTGCAAATTCCACCCGGGGCATCGTTCTTGGCTGCCGTTTGCCGATGCGAGAAATATCTAGAAAAATCTGACTGTCAGACATGAGCTCCAGCAGCCCACACACTCCTCAGCAGCTTCCACAGTCTTAATCCACCCTGTTCCTGATTATGGATCAGCAGCTCTGCGGCGCGCTGGCCTGTCCCTCACTGCCCGCACCCAGCCTTGAAGCCTTCTTGCTCAACCCCAGCAGGATAATTGCTATGCATCGAGGCTCACAGCAAGCAAAGCAAACCGTTGAAATGGAACAAGAAATAAACTTCCAATTAGAAAGCATAGATGGAGAAGGAATCGTTCTTTTTGAGCTCTCAGAAAGCCAAATGAAGCCCAGGATTGTTTCAAACAACTCAAGGTGACTTACAAGGATACCACACACAAAAAAAATATTTTTAGAGGCACAAATATTTTCAGATACACTCCCCATCACATACAGTGTTAGCTCGCCTCTAACTGGAAACAGAATTAGATTGTTCATTTCCTAGCAGTGTCAGAGCATCCTTCCCTGCACGCAAAAACTGCAAACAAAAAGTCATTCAATGTGGTGCAAAGAAAACACTATCTTCTCTAATAACTTTCCTTCTACCTACTTATACACAAGGTATTTTGCAGGCTAAGAGCTGCTGCAGGGGAAAAAATGATGTGGCAGGTGTACCATTCCTGAGACTGTAACTCTTTAATCTCCAAGTGGGGGAAATCACATAAGCTCCACTCATATTCAGCGCTACATTTAGACTATGAGTTTATGGGAGTTCCAAAAAAAAAAAAAGGCACATCGGCTGTTTTCATCCCTGGAGCTGGCAAAAGGCTGAATGGAACTCTTGCCAGATCTTGTTAATGGCCAGCCTGCCTTCCACTGACTAGCCCGGGTTCTTCTGGCAAATGTTGGTTATTTGAAAAACACCCATTAGTTCTCGCCTAATGCAGACTAAAGTAACAACCACAGACACAAAAAGAGAGAGCATCTCTCGTCCCAATGATCCGTATTCTTGACAAGGAGATATTGCCAAGATACAGATCACATTTTTACCCGACACTTCCTTCCAAGAGTCCAGGCTGGTGAACTTAGCTCTCCTATCTGAACTTCTCAGCTACCCCATGAGATAGGCTAGGCTGACGGTGTCTAACTCAAGGTCACTTAGTGAGCATCACTGAGGAGGGAGTGCTTCAACTCGGGTTCAAACCCACTGTAACTACTGTATCACACTGGTTCTCCATGAAATGACAAAAAAGTCACTAGCCCATACACATTTTCTCTCTCACTTTCCCACCTGCTCAAACACATCAGACAAAAGACAAAGGAGCACCCATGCATCAGAACTGTACAGACGCACCCATTTTCACAAGTCCACTTGACCACACATCGCCACATATATTGACTAAGTTGCACCATTGGTCCATCTAGCTCAGTACTGCCTGCTCTGTGTGGTATTTGCTCTCCAGGGTCACTAGCAAATAAAAGTCACCCATCATCTTCTGCCACGTATATTCCTTCTGAGAGGGTAAGGATCTCCAAAAATCAGGGTCCAGTGCAATAGAAACCTTGTCATCTTAGTAGTATCAACTGCTAGCAGTGATCATTCAGATGAAGATGCTGTGGATTGAACCTGGGATCTTCTACATTCCAAGCAGGTGCCTTACCAATGAACTACGAGCCCTCCAAAACTTGCTTTATACAAAGCCAAACCATCAGTCCATCCAGGCCAGACATTCAGCTGCTCTCCAAGGCCTGCATGTGCTCCCTGAGGAGATTTCTGAGCCACAGCCCCTCTCACTAAATGTAGTTCCAGACTCCGGGGAGTACAAAAGAAGAAGAAAAAAGAGGAAGTACTTACCGATGTGTATAAGTATCCTTCGCTGTTCATTGCTAAGTACAATTTTGTTTGAACGCCTTGAATCGCCACCACTCGTAAACCCACGGGTATGAGGTTAAACAAAGCTGCAGGCAAACCAAGTAAAGAAAGTTAATGTCTTGATGCTTTGAAAGCATCATCACATTTTCCATCAAGGGTCATGGGCTTGATTTTTAAGTTTAAATCCCCTCTCCCATCTGTCACATGATCCTGTACCCACCTTGCTTAGCTTCTGAGATCTGACAAGACTGGGCTATACCATGCTGCCTTCTCTCCATGACCGGTATGAGAGCTAGTAAGACTTTGCTGGTTTTGATTCATTTGCAAGGCTGTGCTGTGCCTCTGAAAGCATTTAGGCTGACCGTGGCTGGCAGAAGCCTTCAGACTATTCTACTATCATTTATCTGTTGCTTTTATGCCCCATCTTTTCTTCCATCAGCTTCAGCAAGGTGGCCTTATTATGTGCCAGGCCGGATCCTGGGCCCTATGGTCTACTGTGAATTGTCTTCGAATGTTTAATTTTTTTTTAAATTTAAAAATCCTCCATAGCTTTTGATGATTTGATTAGAGTGCTTCTGGTCTCTGTTAATCCATGCTCTATTAGGTATATTACTTTATTAAGAGTGTTGATGCCAGCCCGATATGTTACCATTTGTTATTTTATAATCATTTCATGCTTTGGATAAATGACCCTGAGGGCTCTGTCTCAGCAAAAAGGCAGGATTGACATTGTTCAAGCAAGCAAATATACCAAATTATTCTTTTGCCCCATAAGTATGAATGGTTGCTATGCCCACCCGGGGGGAGGTAAAGCACTCCACTTAAGAACATCGTTATGAACAGTGGTGCAGTTCTGCAGTTTTGGGAATTTGGAACTAATGGTCTTCGATCAGGGGGTCCCAAACCTTTTCATTAATGGCAGGTACTTCTGAGTAATGAAAAATGTCCTAAGCTACTTCTCCTTACCCCAAGTATGTTAACCAAGGTTTCTTCTGTTTTAAGACTAGGAAGAGCACCGTAAATGAAGCTATCAGCTAATCAGCGCAAAGAAAAATCCTATGAAATAATAAAAAACAACTTTTTAAAAAGCCTAAAGCAGATCTTTTCACAATGTTTTCCTATGTCTGGGTTCTAGGGGATGTATGAGCTATTCTAGAGCTACAAGCAAGCTCCCGGTAGCTCACAGGCCACCTGTTGGAGATCCCTGTCTAAGATAGTAATATATAGTTCCAGGGCAAAGCTAGAGCCTACTTTGGGGGATCTTCGAAAGACCACATGAAGTGGGGCTCTAGAAGTCCAAAGCCAGGCAGTAATTACACCACTGACTGTGAAGCTGTCTACTGATTGGGTGGTGGTGGGGTTGTCCATAGAAAATTGACCCTTGGAAATGTAATTGTGCTATCCGCTTTTTGGCTGCTTCTCTACCCTGCTGTCGTAATAAAAGCTTCTAATAAAAAGGAAAGGAGGGTTATGAGAAGGCCTTCCATGAGGTATGACCACACTACCTTCTCTATACTGTATCATAATTTTAGAGCTTGGGCAAAGGGACAGGTATCTTTTCAGCCAATTGTGCGGTTATTATATAAACTTATCTTCTCAAATAAAAACTGGATATATGTTGTTCACATCGAGGGTGCAACACATTTTAACCCTTCTTTTCACCCAATTCATGCATGTTTCTATGCAATACAGACCCTAAATAATGGGCATACACCCCCATGTCCACCTCCTTGAGGGTGCCACCATGGATTAATTCAGCACTTGAAGGCTCTCAGCTGAACGCCTCTAAAAGACAATGCTGAAGCTGGCATCAAGCAATACGCAACATTCATCATCAGTGGTTCTTTCAGTGATACCTGTTATTATCAAACATGCATGTGGGAAGCAGCCAAAAGACCTCTTGGGCAAAGAAGCCTGGAATTTCTGCATCAGGGAGAAATGGAAGACTCTCTAGCCAGTGAGAAACCACAGGGTACCATTTGCAGGAATATAGCTCCTTCTGGTTGCCTTGAACAGAGGAGGAAGGTGCTAAATTCTGTGGGATTTCTAAGTGTGGTAAGCAATTGGAGATTTTAACACACAATCTTAAATTTAATTGCACCTGTCTTTTAGAAAATCATATGATTGGGACAGGTAATGCCAACACAAAGATGGAAAAGGAGAGGGCCCGAACTGATCCTAAAGTAGGGATGCCAGCCTCCAGGTGGGACCTGGGGACCCCCTGGAATTACATGATCTCCAGACTATAGAGATCAGTTCCCCTGGAGAAAATTGATGTTTTGGAGGGTGAATTCTGTGGCATTATACCCCACTGAGGTTCATGTCCTCCCCAGGCTCCATCTCCAAATGTCCAGGAGTTTCCCAACCTGGATAGGCTTATTATTCCCCTGGAGGGGGTTGTCCACTTTTAGGGCCCCTGATCTGCTGGCCTGGATCCGGTTAGCGAGGGAACCCCACCCCCAAAGTCTCAGGATTGCACCAGTGTACCCGGTGCAATGACATCACCTGGAGGCGACGCCATCGCGCTGGGCACGTTGCGGAGGGGGGACGGTGCCCGGCGCAATGACATCACCTGGAGGCGATGCCACCACGCCGGGCACGTTGTGAGGGGGGACGGCGACGCTTGAGCACTCGGCCAAAAAACTCTATGGTACCATAGAGTTTCTGGCTGAATGCTAGAGCATCCCCATTGTGACGTGTCTAGCATGATGACGTCACTTCCAGGTGACATCATCATGGCCCGCACACTATGTACACACACCAGAAGATCCCAAGGAGGAGCCAGGAGTCCCCCACTGGCAGAAGGTAGGCACCTGGCAACCCTAAACCTGGATCTGGCAGTCCTACCCCTCCATCTCCTGCGGGTGGCCAGGGAGGACTTGGCAACCCTATGATACCACTAGGGACGTGGTCATTTGATTCAGTTCGCAGACCTGTCCGCTGCTGGCAAAAAAGATGTATGTATGTTTTGGGGGGGAACGGAGAATGTCACACACAACCTAGTTTACCTAGGAATCCATTGCCACATGATGATGTGATGCCCAGTGGCATAAATTTGTACAGCAATCCAGTAGAATAAATATACAGCAGTTAGGGCTAGCCGTGGGCTCCTTTTTCTGACAGTATCCTGTTGACAACTTGCTGCCAACAACACCTAGTTGAATGTTGCCATCCCACCCTGCTCGCGAACACTCCAAAGCATCTGCGTGGCTGACGGCTATCACAAGACAGTGCTGAGTCAGATGAACCACGGTTCTCACCAGTAGGATTATGGAACATCTGAAGAGGAGTTTGACAGTAAAAACAAAACAAAAATAACTCCTGCAACCTCTTCCAACAAACCGTGTGCAATTTAATTTGGATTCTTCTATGGCGTTTTTTCACAGAGACAGCATCGTACAGACGCCACATGAGTAGCTGCATTAGGATGACTCTGGAGCTCTTCGTTTGCAAGCATATTTACAAGGATAGTTTTACAGGATTAGATATTTTGCCTCGTTTGATCAAATTCTCCAACAGTGAATTATGGTCTGACAGGCAAAGTCGCAATTAGTCTGATGTTTATCTGCAGAGGGTGATGGGAAGGAACTGGGGACAAAAAGTCCCCTTTGTGACATAAACATGATTCTGATGGATTTGTAATGGAGATGGTTTTGTTTCATTTCAGGTGAAGTGTGGGGGTGAGAAACTTCTCCCTGGCAGAGAATAAAAATCAAAATGAAATCCAAAGCACAGCAATGAAGCTCTCCAGATCTCCATGGAGATACCATTTGGACAGGGTTCCCCCCCCCTCCCAGACTGCCTCCTCTAGTTTATCTAGTTTTCAAGTGTTTTTCTGTGCCTCTCCTTCAGGGCCAACAGTAAACATGCATTCTGGCTAATGTCTTTTAGCTCCATCTGCCAACAGTAAACATGCATTCTGGCTAATGTTGCTTTAGCTCCATCTGTCTCTCTCTCTCACACACACACACATACCTCCTTGAAAAAACATCCATTGCTTTCAAAAGGCTATTTATGTGGACTAGGAGGTTCAGCAAACATCATCTAGCAGCTCTCCATTCCCAGGAGGGAGATACTCACTAAAGGTGCTCTCCTCCTCCTTTGTGCCATCGATAGTCCCGTCTGCTTGCAGCTGCAAGTGGTAGCCTTGCCGGCTGTACAGTTTCGTCACGATGCCTTTAAGCTGCGGCTCTGCAAGTAAACAGACAAGTTAAAAGACTAAGGTGGGAGCCCAAAGTCTGGTATGTGTTTCTGGATTCAAGGTTTTGGGGGTTTTGTTTTTAAGAGGCTTCTTTGCTTCTTTTGAGAAGAAGGGCCAACATTTGAATGTCGACAGCTGCCACTTAGGCTGAAGATCGAAACAGGAGCTTGAACAGAAGTTGCCATGCATGATCCTATTTCACTTAATTTGAGAAATACAGGTCATTTTCAAAACAAAGGCACAAACACAAAAATCTTTAGCAAGTGAATCAAAATTCCAGCCGTGCATTACATGGCTCAGGGAGCTAGGTTTGATCTCCATTAAGATTAGAAATCCGCCAGCAAGGAGAACATCTTGCGTTTTAATGAGCTGAGATTTGTCAAAGGTAAAAAAATGGGGAAGGGGGAGAGATCTGCTGAAATAGGAAGAATAAAATTAAATGCCAATCAAGAACCAAGCTGAAAGAAATGGTTAGTACCACTGCAGGTCTAATGAACAGCATAAAGAGATAGAAGCAATAAAATGTATGCTGGACAGGAAAAGGAATGGGTTAACGCCACGGCAATAACTGAGATTATACACAGGCAAATAGAGAGAGAGACAGACAGCTTATACGGAATGTCAGAAATTGAGTGAATATTGGCATTCACAGAAAATACTGAGAAATTCCAAAATCTAGAGAATACTGATTGTCAACATTCACTTCAGTGTTTCCAAACAGCGTAGAAATGAGCCTGGTTCACATGTGCAGCAGGATGAGGTGGCATAATGCCAAGGTTGTAGAGTGGGCCACATCACTTCTGAGTGCAGACAGGGAAAGCATCTTTTTGAATGCTCCCAGCTGAAACCTCCTTGTAAATAGAAAGCTAGCCGGGGGGGGGGGGGGGGAAGCTGGACTAGAACCCTTTTCCCCTTAAAAGGTTAGGTTTCTATCTGGAGCGAATCTGTTTAACAGGGAAGCACATTTAAGACTAGAGCCTGTCATTCAAGGTCCAAAAATGACATGCACCATTCTAGCACCCCAGTCTCCTGCAAGAAAAGGTAGGGTTGCCAATCTCCAGGAGGTGGCTGGAGATCTCCCAGAATTACAACTGGTCTCCAGACTACAGAGATTATTCCTCTGAAGAAAATGGCTGCTTTGGAAGGTGGACTCTATGGCATTATATCCTTCTGAGTCCGTCCCCCCCCAAAAAAAAACCCTGTCCTTCTCAGGCTCCAGAGCCCCAAATCCCCAGTAATTTCCCAACACAGACTTGGCAATCCTAGACAGGTCAGGCGTTGTCTTGAATTACCACCAGTGTTTGTGTGGATGTCACTGTTTATCAAATATTGAGTATTCACTGTAACAGATACACAGTGCTCCAGGGTTTTGGGGTGGGGATGCAGACACCCCCAGTGAGCTGCCTGAACGTGGACCATACAAACTGATAATTCTCTTGCATTCTCTTCAATCATCTCGCTGCCCTGTTGCAGTGAGAATTGGGATCCTCCTGGAGCCCCATCAAAGACCCAGCTATGCTGGAGCTGCGCATGTGTGCCTGCAAACACACACACTCTTTGGGGAACAAAATGGTGCCAGATTTGTTTCAGAAGCTGGGAAAGGAGCCACTGAGTCTCACCGGTTTCAAGTAAAGAGCACCACAGCTGTCATGGCAAGAGCAGCTTTCTAGGCAAGGAAAAACAGTCTTAAGAAGAGTCTCGAGGAGGGATGTTTCCTTCCTGAAAATGCCAACTGTACCACAGCCAAATCTACACCTCACTTCCAAATGGCTCAGGCGGCTTGCATCCTCCATGAGCCCCGAAGAAGGCAGCGACTGACTACCGCCACAGCCTGAGACAACAAACGTTTCACAGGCCATTCAAGAAGGAACAAAATGAAACACTGGGCTGCATCCTACAAAAAGCCTGGAATCGCATCCGACAAGAAGCCCGGAATTGCCAGGCATGCAGGCTGACCGAGACAAGCCTTTGTGCTAATTTATGAGCCTTGTCATACAATCATATTATGTTTTGTGGGGTGTTTTTAACCTACAAGTCAAAACGGAGGAGATGCTAAATCGGGAAGTTGTCTCTCCTTTTCTTTAATGTGCTAACAACAACCGTGCGTGAGGAGGCATGCAGCAGTGATGAAAGGCTTAGCCCCCCCCTATCCATCCACCCTGCATGGCCACAATCTAAGTCAGGGTCCCACACGCAGCTATAAGCTCGATGGCTAAAAGTCAGCTTACAAAGTTGCTGGGAAGTTCGTGTTCTCTGTCACGTCTAGTTTGACTCTTTAAAGGCTGGGTTACATGGGATGCCTGGCATTCCGAGGACAAAGCTGCCAGGATATATATATATATATATAAATGTTGCCAGGTGTGCAGAGCCTAAACGGAGATCAAGACGGTGGCATAAGGGGGAGGAGGGGCTTTAAGCCTTCTGTCCTGCCACTTTCCCAATCTGAAATGGCCCTGAGAAGTACAGAGTAGTGGTTGCAGCATGAGGCTAGGATCTGGGAGACTAGAACCCTTCAAGTCCCCATTTGGCCATTCACCTTACTGGATGACCTTGGGCCAACCACTTCCTCTCAACCTAACCCACCTTACAGGGTGGGTTTGGGAGGGGAGGGGAACCACGGGCACTACCCTAAGCTCCTAGGAGGAAGGACAGGATAAAAATAAGACAGATATTTGCCCAGTTGGGTCCTGGTATAATTTTTTAAAAAGGTGTTTCTTCTTATCAGTCCACCTAAGCCATAAGCGGTGTGCACAGGAGGTATTGGGGGGGGGGGACACACCTTATACATCAAAAACTGATCTTGCTGCCTCTCCCGTTGGAGCCAGTTCTTGGTTGTTGCTATGTTGTTTGCATCATCACCCACAGCTGTTCGAGTGTCAGACTAAGACAGTGAAGCCCTACATTCATCTTCCCACTCACCCATGCAGCTCAGTGGGGAACCTTGGGCTCTCTCAGCCTAGCCTACTTCACAGGGTTGTTTTGCTGGAAAAAAAATGTGAGGAGGAAAAGAAAATCATGCACGCTGGCCAGACCTCCGTGAAGGAAGGACTGGATAGCAACTAGATGGACGTCAAACTCACCACCTCTCTACAGTCTAGTTCCTAACAGCCAGCCCCAAAGCGTTGGCCTTTCCATGGTTTGGAAAGCTTGTCACCTCAGGACCCCGCGGACATTACATTTTAAGGAGGAAATGTGAGATGGATCCCTTTGGGGGGGGGGGTGAAAAACAGTGAACGTGACATATACCTTTGGAAACCCAAGCAAGAAGCAGCCAGGAACTGCTGTGGCTCCCAAAGCCAACATGCACATGCCTAAAGATGGGTCTTTCACCACATAATGTGTGAAACAGCATTTAGTCTTTCAGCAAGCAGATGATGAGATTCTAAGGCTTTGGGAATCTTTTTTTTTTTTTAAGCAAATTAATAACAAGAAAGGGACTTTGCCTCCCTTCTTCTGAAATGCGCCAGAGCATTTTGCTGCTTCCTCCTCCTCCTCCATCCACCCCTAGGCTTACTTGGACTCATACGCTTTATGCAGAATTCTTACAAAAAGCAAAACATTGATGGGAGAAGAGACCTAGAATGAGTGCAGAGATTCACTGAACGAAAGAGGTGGTGGTGTAGCCAGTTGGAGCAGAGAGAGCGGCTTAGAAATCCTCAGTGAGCCAAGTCACTACTCTCCAGCCAAGACTACCTCACAAGGTTGTTGAGAGGATAACATGGGACGAGATCATGCTATGTGGAAGAAAAGGGATATACACAATAGGGTTTCTAAATACTTAGATACAGTCAATATGGTGGGAAACTAATTTCCCCCAGAGTTTTATTCTCACCCCATGTAACCTGAGCAGGGGTGCTGTTGGGGAGGAGAGATCATCCATCTATATTTATGACAGAGACAAAATATGGACAGGGATGGAAATAAATACAGAGGAAATAGACAGTCTGGGGCAGTGGTTAGCATGCTGGACGAGGACCCAGGCTGGGATCTCGACTCCACCATGAATCTCACTGGGCGACCTTGAGACAGTCACCATCTCTTCACTTCACAGGGTTGTTGTGAGGATAAAAACGGGGGGAGGGAGGAACTGTGTATGCTACACTGACCTCCTTGTAGGAAGGACAGAAAAAAACCCTCAAGCAATAATAAATGGTATCCTCCAAATTATGTTTGTGGGAATCAAGAGGAATTAATCAGGGTGCACAACAAAAACAAACGTAAAATCAGAATGTCGGACAGATTGATGATTGGTGGCTATGCGTGCAGCAGAGAAAACAGAAGAGGCCTTTTGCCATCAAATTGATGGTGTTGGCTGGACCGAGAGAGAAACCAATCAATTGCTGGTCTGTGTAGGAGGGAAGCAGAAATCGACAATTGTCGTCAACAAGCAGGGACCTGTCGTCCTCTCCTCTGTAAAGCGCCGCCGTGCACACAGATGTCAGTGCATTAATAACAGAAAATCTGGGAGGCAGAGGAAGCCTGGCAAGTTGCAAGAGGGAAAAAAAAGTGTGTGTATGAAAAAGCTTAATGTACTTTCTATCCTGTCAGCATAGGCGAATGTGTAAGAAGCAGAGATCGAAACAAGCCAGCACAAAAACAATTTGTTTTGTGAGCACGGGGGGGGGGGGAACTGAGGCTCAAAAGTAGGTATATAAAAAGGTAGGACGGCGTAAAAGAGAAATGGGATTTGGGTGTTTAGGGAAACAGAAATTTTTAAAAAGCCAGTATGGATTTAGTGTGGAGGGCACTGGAAGTAGACCATGCAGACCCGGGTGCAAATTCCTACTCATTCTCATAGCTCATTCGGTGACTCTGGGCCAGTCAGTCTCTGTCTCTCTCTCACACACACTGTGTAGCCTACCTCACCAGGTTGTTGTGGTGATAAAATGGGAGAGCAGGTTGCATACTGCCCTGTGTTTCTTAAGGATAGGAGTAAAGCTTAAATAATGAATGGGGGGTTGGATGCCAAGAGAAACACAGTGCCGGGGTG